TTGTTTATAGAGTTATTTATAAAATTATTCAAATTATATCAATTAAATTATACTTCTAATCAACTATACGCTGTAAGCTTCGTTTAAACGCATTTAAGAACAAATTAAAATTAGAATTTATAGTTTAAAATTGATATTTAAACAGACAAATCAGGGATAATGCCGAGTTAAAGTTCTCAATTCAAATACTTTTATGTATTGGCAGGTTAATATACAGTAAAACGTGTGTGGTAATTGAGGAAATAAACAAAAATTTATATTATACAAATTATTCTTTTGTTATTCTATATATATTTCTAATTATTAATTATTTTATAATTATTCGATATATATAATAGATTATGTGGTTTATTGTACACTCCGCTCAACGATGGGATTAGAAATACGTAGTAGAACTTCATAGTGTCATGCATTATACTTAACAAACCTTTATGGTATAATCTACTACTCATATAAGCTGTAAGTAACACATTGATTATGCATCTAAGCATATCCAAATATAGAAAGGTACAGACTCTTACGAATTTTTAGCTCCATTATAATCTTCGTCGAACTGTGTACATGGCTCGTCGTTAAACTGCTCATACCTGTATAAGAAAATCTAGAACAGATACTGCCTATAATGTACAGTACAGCACAATTAACAATAAATCTTCATAATTTACTTTAATAAAACTTAACAAATTGATATTTTTTTAGTAATTAAAATTAATAAATTACTCATTCTATACTGTACAGTACCTATCAAGATACAGTCTTGCATTCTTATCAATCTTAATAGGCATGCTTATGCATATTAAATCGTTATTTTTTATATGTTTCCTATGTTCTTAGTAGGATGCATAGGGAATACACAAAGGCAATTTATTATAAGTTAAATAGTAAGGAAGCTACGTTGTGGTATCCTTATTACAACATTATTAAGTTACGCGCAAAATAATTAAAAATATTTTCTCAATTTTAATTAAATATTAATCAAATTCTTTATTAATATATTTATTAAACTTTGATTAACCGCGTATTTAAAATGATTATAACACAGCAATCATTTAGAATTAGCTCTAAATGTTTTGATATACTTGTACAGTACCTTAATCTCCGTGGCACCATCATTGTAGTATTGATCGAAATAATGTTAAAATATTGTATAAAATAGAAAACCTTGTAACAAGACGTATTATTGAACATTACTGCATCAAAAATTGTGTAGATGCATGCTGGGATATAGTGCAATGTAAAGCGCGAGGCTAACAGGAGAATTGTGATCCATCTCTGTGTTTAATTTTCTCCAAGTCGGATAAAAAAGAGTGATTTTAACTTGTTTATTCTTAAAATTTTTATTTTAACGTGTACAATAACCGATCCCATTGTTTTCATTTTCATTTTACAACCTTGTACAGTATCTTATAATCTTACAGAAAATTTTGTTATAATAGGCTACTATCTAGTCTACATTCCTTATAGTAATACATAAATCGGTACAAAATATCAATTTCAAAAATAATAAAGTAGTTTATTTGTACTTTTTGACTTTCTCTCATCGGTTGAATTAACGTTTTCCTCAAATTTCTATACTTTTTACAAATATATTTATAAAAAATTTAATATTCTGAATAATTATCTCCTGTTATAAGACCAGATAAGTTATCCTCATCCCTCGTTATCATTATTATTAAAAGCATTACCTACAAGCCTACATTATGAATAAAAGAAAATTTAGGTTTCTAGATTTTATTAAAAGACATTATCAGAGAGTTTATAGGGCATTTATTTAAAAATGAAATAATTTTATACAGGAAAAAACAAACAGCTTTGTCCTACTCTCTTTTAAAATATCACGATGTAAGACTATCCATTATTCCCTTTCATTATCCCTTGGAAAATATTGTGAAAGTAAGAAAAAAATCTGAGTAATCAGTAAAAATACGTTATAAACTAAATAAAGTAATAATCGGTAAAAATATCTACTCCGAGATTTTTACGTTTTCAACTCGGGGACCTTGAAACGTCGAGAAATGCAAAATAATTTGGGTTTTTTTTTTCTGTATAAATGGATGTTAGTGTGTGTGGGGAGGAACGATTTTGTTCGCCCACTTTGAAGCTTAATATCTCCTGTGTCTTTCATAGAAAATTTCTGAAATTTTGTGTATTAGGAACATTAATTCTGTTAAATTTTGCTGGTTAAAGGTCAAGGGGGTGGGGAGATAGAGGTGAGTTATGTGTCACTTCATGAATATTTTATTCGTTACTAGCATTTACAATTTTTTAAAAATAAAACTCATCTCTACCCACATTATTAAGCTTTTTTCCACTTTAATAATTTATAATACCAAAATTTCAAAAATAAAATCTCAAGACAGATAGGCGCAACAGAAAAGTTACGCAAATGGCAATTTATATTTTAAAATAAACAATAATTTAATTATAATTCGAACAAAATATTCCACAAAACACGCATTTGTTACTATTTTAATCGAATTCTTTTGTTGTAATAAATTTAATAAAATTAGCTTATCTTACATTAAAAGACACACGAAATGCCGTATTGAAGTAGTTATACAAGGATGAGGAGGAGGAAGAAGTTGAGTTAATATTCAATAAAAATTCGAAATTTTGCAAGTATAAAAAGCCGATATATTTATATATAAGATGAAAAATAAAAAATAAAAAAAAGAAACTCTTACAGTTTATTATTTATAAAACGAGATTTTATAAAAAGCTCTCAGGAAGTTGAATTTCTATGCACAATTGTTCAGTCCATCCATTCTATCGCAATATTTTTGGAAAAAGCAATGCATTTCATTGAAGACTATGTACGGGTCTACATAAAATGTAATTTTTTTCGTTATTTTGAAGTTGTATATACACATAATCTAAAGTTCAGGGGTTTTATTTGTTGAAGGGAGTCATTTATAAATGGAATCTATAAACAGAAATGACAGACTGGGAAAGGTTTATGCTGATAGTCGAAATCAAAGTGAATTTCAAATTCGTCTTAAAATATTTTTTGTTTTCTTTATTTTTTACTATTTTTTCCTCTCCCTATTGTGGATGAAAGGAGAGGGAAAATATAAAAGAATTCGCCTTTTGGATCTTACATCGAGTCGTGAGTGATGGATTTAACATTCTATCAGTTTACATAACTTCGCTTATTGTTGAATGCCAAATGTTGAAGTCACGCGACTAAACGTCAACAAATCTGATTGTTTCCACTATCTTTTATCAAACCGAATGCTTTTATTAAAAAATAAACCAGAAAAAAATTAACTGAATTCTAAGAAATGCCTCTTCTATTATAGAATAACTTAATTTGCTTACATTAAAGAAAACCTTATAAATGGGTAATTTATTATTAATTTACGAAAAATCCATTTGATTAGTGTTGAGTAGAATTGTGATCCAAAAATAAAATTAAATTTATTAAAATATATTTAATTATAATCACTTAATTACAATTTAGGTAATGTGTTCATTTGTAACAATCTACTGGCTTGTTAAATCTTAAAATTGGTTCATATTTGAATGATGCTTTACTCCATTTTTAAAAAATTCTTATATTTTATGGATTTTGGTGTACGTATCGACAGTATAGGCGGAGAATTTTAAAGGTAATATTCCGATTTGAAGTAAAAGAATTACTTGAATTATCGATCGCTTGGATCCACCCGTCACTTCGTTACACCATTTGGGTGTCGTATGCTTCCGAGTGATGAAAACCATTACCCCATCTACCTTCGGGGATTCCGGATCTACAAGAATGATTTATGAACCATCTCCCGCCCTTGCTTTGTTTCTATGGTTACCTACTCCCGTGATTGGTGCTACATCTTATCGAAGGGTGATCACTTAGAATGATTCGATTTCAAAGGCCTTAGTTCTTTCAAAATATACATCAAAGTTTATTGTTTTACTACATTTATTTCACAGAATATCTACGTTAGATAAAACTTTCACGACGGCATATCTACTAATTGAATTACACCAGATATAAATGGTATAAATATAGAGAAAACTACAAAATTTTTAATATTAATATGCCCAAAAACTTAAGCTAAAAGTCTTGCCCTACATAATGTATATAAACATGTAAAATATATGCATTTAAACTATGGTTAAACAGCAGAATGCTGTATCTATAATTAAAATAATAATATAAAAATTATAGAGACATAAATTACATGTTTTCTACAATTTTAAATATTTAGTAGGCTAATAAAGAATAAAGAATGTTTTAGGCCCGTTAAACTAGTTATAGCTTATGTTAAAGAGAGTTTGGTTAAGTTCTAGGTCATATATAAGTAAAAAACAAGGCAAAGATTAAAATAATAGAAAATAATGGCAGTATAGATTGAATTCTCACTTAGATCTTAGCATTTTTTTGGATGGACGAATTTTTTCACAAGTGCTTGCTAGACAATTTGTTCAAGTTGAGTTCGCCTCTCTAAACAGCTCCATTAACCTTCCAACAAAAAAACCAATTTTATTGTTTTCCATTTTTTTATTCTATTTTAAATGGATATTTTTTTAATAGAAGGTCAACGACAAGTAAATTACTTTAAAAAATATTCTATATAGTAATAAAGAATAATCTAAATAACTAATATTAAATATAGATTATCAAAGTATTGCTCAGTTGTCAAATAAAATAATAATAATTTAAATACGTGTCGAATATTAAAAAAATAACTTGAATAATTAAGGTAGGCGCCAGACAATAGCCTAGTGAATTTTTTTTATTTTTGCAGGTATAACAAGTAGGCCTCTTTATAGACGATGTGCAATTATCTGATCAAATTAGACTTATATATCTGTTATACCGTTAGAATAAGAGAAAAAGTTTAGAAAATTTTAAGAAAATATCTTAATTAATAGTTTAAATCAATTTATATCTAATTAATTATAGTAAACAATTTAAGGGTAGTTTAATGGAAAAATTATGGAGTATATTCTGTTATAATATGATAAAGTGAAAAAAATAATTTCTTTTTTCTACCCAATAGGCCCTCAATGGCTTCCTGTTGATTTTGACATGTGATGGGGAGGTCTTTTACGCTTCACATACAGTCGAAACTTATCTTGGCTTTCATCAGGTATGGCTCAATCTACTGTGAAGTTAAGAAATTCAATTTGACAAATTATATATCTCCTATGGACTGTATATATATTTATCCTTGACATATATTTCATAATTAGTATAACTGTAATTAAATGTAGTCTTAATATTTTATATATTTAATTAGCATTAAAAATTCACTAAAATTTATATATGACATCTTATAAATTCTAATAAAATTCTTTATAAATTTACAGTTTAAATTAAACGTATTTTTCAAGTGTATATGAATAGTTCTAAAATTTAGATAATAATCTTTTAGAAATGTTACTTAATTATCGATAAAAATGATATATATGTATAGATATATATATATATCATTTTTATCGATAATTAAGTAACATCGATATCGATAGTACAATCGATAATATACATTTAATTAATGATATATATATATATATATCATTAATTAAATGTAGGCCTAAATGCCTGTATCATGTAAAAACCTTAGTAACTTTTCTGTTTTATCGTTGGCAAAAAATGAAATTACACTGTATTTTGAACAAAGTCTGCTAGCTTTGGGTGAAATGTTAAGCATTCTTTCATAGAAACATCAATTAGGATACATTATATATGGCATAATTTTACAATAATAAATCTTGCTGATGGTTTACTACTGTAATCAATAAGACTATTTCAATTTCTTTCTTTTAGATAAGTTCTTACCATTTTACAAAGCCTTAGGCGATATAAGAAAATAAGATATAACATATCGACTACAAAGTTCTCTGTCATCTCGTAATACAAAATTACTCTATTATCAAAAGCCTCTAGCATAATCTTAGTACCGTACTGACAAGAATCATTCTACATTAAAATAGCTGTCAGCAGAAAAACGAGATATTTTGAGGTTGAAAAAAATGAAAATTAGTGTTAAGAAATTTTTAGATATTAAACCTTAATAGCTACAGTAACCATTTCTGAGGTACGGCACCGAGCAATCAACGAAGTGTGGCATCATCTAACATTTGAAATGGCTTGCTGTATGGCAAGAAGAAAAGAGATGAAGACATTACAGTAGTGCTGCAGGAAAATCAATGTCGGTTTGCATTAGATACTATCTCTTCCGTAATGCATGCAGATAACAGTGTATGGCGGAGGCAGCAGTAATGACACTAATTTAGCCAAGTAATCTTGGAGATGTGAAAGGCGAGAAATTACTGTAGGAGATCGACCAGATCCGTCCTGACTGCTTCCAGCCACTGGTTGAAATTGTTGAATGTCTTTTATGGAGAGAGACAATGATGTTATTTCTACGTGAGGAATTCAGTCAAAATTTAATTTGAAAAACATCTCGTTACGATTGCAATGATGATCATTTGTCTTTCACTCGCATTCTGTTTAACAGATTGTAGTTAGATGAAGGAAACGAGTACGGATACGTAAAGAGAAAACATTAATAAACTTAAAATAATTTCCAATTTTGTTATTTAAACGTTAACTTTTCTAATTTAATTAGTTTAATGTTTTCTTTCTATATATTGTACCTTATTTTAAATTGTTTTCTTATCTTGGCAGAAGGAAAAATTCGATCTTAATGAGCACAGTAGGCAAAGAGACAGAAGGAGATAACTTACACGTTTCGTGAATAAATTAACTCTTATCTAGCTATTAGTACTTAAAGTTTGATCAAATGAATTTCATTTTCATCCGAAAGTTTAGAGTTAAAAGTTGAATTTGTCTTTGCTTGTTTAAACTAGAAAATTCTGTGTAAAAAATGACAATTTTATTCTGATTTTGCTTAATAATTTGAATCGTTCTCTAATCTCAATTTTAGATTTATATCAGAAAATATTTTGATATATTAACAACAGGACCTACAGTCAACGAATTAGCAAAGATAGCGATATACATGGATAAAAAATTCGAAATATTAATTGGGTTGCGGTTAACGACCAAAAAAGATACAGTGATTCAAAAATTATCTGCTTAAAAAACTGCATTGTTTTCTAACAAACAACACCGCTTATGTTATTATCAGATGGTTTTGCAGGTGGACACGCTCAAAAGACCCAATCTCTTATCTAAAGACACATGTTATATTCAGGGTCGTAAACGTTTACGATTAACCTCAATTTTGGCATCTTAATTACGAAAAACTTTTACTGCGAGGATGAAAATATTCCTCGTTGTTAAAATTAGCTGCCTACAGGCTACTTTGATGAAAGGAGGAGTTAGATATATCACGCCCCGGACATCACGTGACACGGATGCGCCATTCGCTCAATTGGACAACAGTTAGGTTGCTATGGAAGCATGTGACAAACGCGATTTCTATGTTAAGAGTCGCCAATCAGAAAATAGGGAGGAGTTCGTATTACGCAATAAGAAATCCACATTTCGAATTTAAAAATAACTTTAAAATTGCCAACAAAAAATGTGATTATAAAAATAAATTTTGTAATTAAATACGTGAAAAAATTAATTAATTATTTAAATTTATAAATATAAAGTTATGCATAAATTAATTTCGAATATAAACATTTGTTTCTTAAATTAATTTCGATGAAAGAAATTGAATTTAATTAAATTTAATATTAAAAGAAACATGAAAATAATCAGATAAAATTGAAAATAATAGGTATAATTAAACATTATAAACTTCTTAATTAACTCATTTAATCTATTAGCATAGATTTTAACCACCAATTAAAGACATAACAGGCTAGGGATTAAAAAAAAGTGTCGTTAGAATGCCCCGAAGAAAGAGAATATTTAACAGATAATAGTATAATTAAAATCTTTAGTGCATCCTGCCCGATTCCCTAAATTAGTAGTCAGTTGCTGTAAACAGTAGTCGTGTTTAAGAAAATTAAATCGGAAGATGATTCATCGAAGATAGTGATACAAGAAGTCACTTTCATGTAGTAATTAATGCAAGTCTAAGAAGGCGTTTAGTGCAACACCCCGTAACGTCTTCATGATTAATTTGCTCATTAGACAATGCGTGGTCAACGTCTAGTTCTTTAATGACTTCCAATAGCAACAATTTAATGACGACCTTAAGGTTTCTTCACCCGTACCCTTCGATCAAGTTCGATCTTAACTCTCAAAAATCACTTTATCGCATAAAAATTGAAAAATATTAAATTCTAAATGATTATACTTAAAATAATAGTAAATTTATAAATTATTTACACGATTTGGACTGTAAATTTTAAAATATCGATAAATTCAAACCTCATAATTGATAAAGGAAAGACTTGTTTTTAGCTAATTAAAGAATAAATTAAATTCATGTTATAAATGATTAAAACCTAAATAAAGACTTTTTTATGTATAAAATGATAAATTGTCTTACTGTTATTAATGTATTCCTAAGCCCACGTAGACATTGTTAATTTGAATAAAAACAGAGTCTGATAGTAAAATGCCAGAAAATTAATTTACAAAAAAAGTATTTCCGGAAGGAAATATTTTATCTAAAACTTTCGATTTCTTTACGGATAGAATAAAATCCCGTTTCTGTACTTTATAAATAATCCAAAATAAAAAAAAGAGAAAAAATTTGAAACGAAAATTGAGGGGGTTGGAAAGACCCACGTGGCCAAGCGAGAAGCTACATATCACTTTGAGGCGCCTGAGAAGCCATTAGATGCACGAGAAAGACTTTTAGAACCCGACAGAGATGGATAGCTATCCACTTGCCGACAATAATTGAATATGCCAAAGAGGAGAGAAGAGAAGGAAAAGCATTACTGTCACGTACGCAATGTTTCTGGTATAGGTGTCTGGCTTCGGAGGCACAGGTGTTCGGTAACCCACCACTACGTTGAAGATAATGGGGAAAAATGTATTACTTCCTCGATTACCATATCGATTGCACTGCCGTCAGTTCTAGAAAGAATAATAAAAAAAAAAGAAAAGAAAAAACTACGTATATTCTCCCCTCGTACAAGTCTTTCTCCTCGTCAAACATTACACCTTCGTCATTCTACCGTCTACCGAAGGCAAATTTTATGTTTAATAGTTTCGTATTTTGAATTACCTTTCCTAATATATTTCTGTATAATTTAATATAAATAAAAGATATTTTATGAGTAACATTTAATATGAAATTAAAATTAAACACAATCTCAAAGCTACATCTCTATAAGATAGGCCTGCGAATTATAAAAGCTTAAATTAAATATTTTTTTTAGCAAATTTTGAGTCAATTTTTGGCATATCTTCTAAATTTTAATGAATTTAAGCTTACGTCTTTATTATACACTAAACTTTATAAGTGTAAGTAGTGCCTAAATTTATTTTATTCATTTTAGATTTATTTAACGTGTGATCTGAATAGGGTTGATCTTTTGACTTTCAACAATTTTTATACTGAATTATCACAGATTTTATAATTCATTAAGAATTGATTCAACACACCTTAAATTTTCAAAAATTTATTTAACCTGAGTAAACCCGACTTGCAAGATATCGAATGTTTTCTCCGGTTTGGCAGGTTTTTTTAACAGAGTAAATCATTGCGGTCCTAAGAATTTTTCCCGTTTTAGTAAGGTTCCGTTCTAAACAAGTTTTACTGTACATAGTTGGTTTGAATACGATACAAGAATAAGAGAGTGGAACGAGCTACAACATCGATTCTTTATGCTAAATTATGCAAATAGATCATGATTATGGTTTTTGAAACATTAAAAACACTAATTACATATTATTCTGATAATAATAATCTAAAAATTATAACGGAAAGATTTATAGAAATCGTAAATAATGAATTCGAAACTTAGTTTCTTATAGACTTATTACAAAATTCTAGCATTTATTGATGTAATGTTAAAATAAAAAGATTATAAAACATGTAATTTACTTTTAAATAAAGTTAAAACAATGTTATAATAGTGCATATAAGTATTTTTCATGGGAATAAATTGAAGTTGATGTCGAACTTACGTGAGAAAAATAAGGAATTAAAAACTTTAACAGTAATTTTTGAATTCGTTGCTTTCTATCACGCAACCTTAATGTTAAATTTTACAAATTGTGAGACAGGTTAAAAATAGACTTAATATTGATTTATTCAGCTAATTTTAATCAATTTCGGCTTTATTTCATTTCGGTTAATAAGCCTTAATTGCGGGACGATCATATCAAAAGTTTAAACTTGCCGGAAGAAACCCATAAACATTGATTTACAGAATATATTATCATTAAAATGTATAAAAAATAATATCTATATATATTAAAAATTAATTTATAACATTATAATCCTTATATTCTACTGTAATATTTAAATATTACTTATTCTTACCATAAACTACGTATAGGCATAGTCAAATGTATATAGCCTACTTTATATGTGATTTATCGAATAGAATCAGATTTAAAATTTTATTTAAAAACTAAATAGAATAATTTTAATTTTATAAAATATTAATTTTTATTTATAATAATAAATTTGTATCAATGAAATCCGCAGATACGTTATCAAATGTAAGCCTATTGTACTGTACTGTACCTTTTTAATAATTTTTAATAGGCTACAATTATATACAATTTATATACAACTGTCTAAACATAAGTAATAGTTTTAAATATTATCAAAATGTAAGATTTCTATTATTAATAATTTAAAAAAACTTGATATTTTAATAATAAATATAATCATTTTGTTATACTAATTGGCCATTGATTAGACTTTATTATAATAATTTTTTTTATAAATTTTAATAATATAGTTAAATTAACTAACTAAAAACAATAATTATTATAAACTGTTATGATTTATTATATAGCCTATATATTGTAATCTTAATTAAATATAAATATTTAATTGGTTAATTTATTTAAATTATAAAGGCTGCATGAATTGAATTGCGGAAATATATTATTCTTTTATAATTTATTTTATAACTAAGCAAGTTATCTGTTTGCATTTAATCCTATAATTATTTAATAATTATAATTATACATTTTTAAATTAGTTTAGAAATTATATTTGAGCCTATTTTACTAATATTAGTTTTAAGTATATAACAAGAAATTGAAATTTAACTTATAAATATTATTTAGTTTAAATAGAAAAAATATGTCGGAGAAATATTTTATAATTTAAATAGTTTTTCGTCGTGTTTCTTCGCAAGATTAACCACGAATTCGTTTTGCTCAATTAAAGTTAATATCCAGCAGACGTTAAAAGAAAGAAAATGAAAAAATCGTTTTCTAGTAATATTTTAGTTAAAAACGATAAAATTTGATTGTCTTTTGTATAAAAATGATTTTTGGAGTAAAGTTAAGTGGCGTATTGTGATAAAACTGAGAATGGATAAGATAAAATAACAAAGTAAAATGTTAAATAGAAAGAATACACTTTTGGATTAAAGTTTTATATTAAAAAACAGTAAAATAATGGATTAAATTCTAAATAAAAATTCTGAAAGTTTAAAATAGTAAAAATAGTAAAAGTTAGCTTTGCTTTCTTCTGTTAATAATCTAAAAAAATGATTGTATATACGAAAAATCCAAACATTAGACTTTTATTTTATTTGTCATAAAATTTCTTAAGATAAAAACAGGAATTATACCAAAATAAAGTATTATAAATACAGTAATGCCTAGTTAATTCGAACATGAATAATGTTTACTCATAAATACAGATAGACGTAAATGTAGGTTATTTGAAAGCGTAGAAAAAACAGACATATAAACTAGGCTCATAAAAATATATATTAGGTCCAACGAATGTAAAATATATATAAAAAAAGGAAAAACATTTTAACCCAGACGATCAAAACACAACTGTTGGAACGGCGGAAATGTTTCAGCCAAAGTAATTGATTGTGTAATTGCGTGTGGATCCGTCAAGCGAACGATACCAACGGAAGACAAGGATCCACTCGACCTGGATAGAATAACACAGTTCAGATGATCATTAGCCATCCCTAGCTATGATTAATTAGACTGAACCTCTCTGTTCTTGATTACTGTGCGATGCAGGGATGTAACAGATGATCTTGTCACCGTACCTTGCTTTGATGAATGTGTTGAGTTGGAAGTCTTGCGTTTTGTCCGTTGCTCCTATATCACTAAAAAGTAGTAGAGGGGAAGAAACATCGACGAAAAATTAACCTCTTATCCGATGATTGTCTAATTGATGCTGTTTTTTTCCTTCCTCTTCCTTCCTCAAGTCGGACATCTGTCATCAAAGTGTATATGAATTAGTTCATTCAGAAGATAGAGAAGAATTGCAAAGACATTTAATATGGAACTCTCAATTACCAGCTGATAGAGGAACGATTACTTTACAAGAAGTTCTTTTGCCAGGTATTTTATATAATTAAAACTTTTTACGTATCTGTACATTGAAAGGATATCAGTAACTAGTTTATTTTATTTCGAAGAAAATGCTCAATATCTCGAGAGGAATTTTACGGTCAGATTTCGCTGCCTCTTAGACAATACATCTGGTTTTTTGGTAAGTATTATCATCGTTAAATCATTATTATAACTGTAACAAATATATAGAGTCACGAATTTAGACGGCTTCATTTTTTGATATATTTAAAACGATTTCACTCTATTTTTGGATAGAGATTGGATATACGAGGGAGGGTAAAAGTTCTTCATGGTCAAAATCACAAAACGGAAGACCCACCATTGGCTTTATTTGCTGTATGTACGCCGTTCGGTCCTCCTTCATTACTGGAGATGCCACAAAAAGATTCGATGTTTAAGAGTAAACATAAATTAGATTTGTCTCTAGTCTCCATGGACCAAAGGTAAGTTGGAAATTAATTTTTAAATGCCCGTATAATTAATTTATCTCGTGAGCTAGATTAAGCAGTCTTTTAATTGATTTGAACTTTGAATGTAAAGGCGGTCAAGTAACTCGCCTACTCAAATCAAAAAGGTCACTCTTCAACCTTTGCAACACTTCAAGGTAATTCTGTCGAAAGATACAGTATATACTTTTTAAATTTGACATTCTGGTTTGCATTTAACTTTTGCCTTCAGCTAAATGAACTCAGATCACATGCAATCGTGATCTTCCTGTTCTTTCTCGTCCCATTTCTTGTTGTGACAGTCAAATTTACATACGTAATTATAATCTTCATAATATAGGCTAAAGGATAAATGCAATCATTTCCATAAACTAAGACCTTCTTAAAAAATATAATGATAATTACACAGTTTTGAAACTTAATTATCAAAGAAAGAATCTGAATAATTTTCTTTATTTGTGTATATTTTTTCGCATCGGTCTAATTAAAATTACCGGTAGTTCTTTTAAATGTTGTTTATTAATTTAAATTGAAAAATCTTAAAATAACAGAAATGAATAAAATCGTATAAAATAATTACGTAAATATTTATATATTTTTTCTTTAATTCTAGGGGAAAACAAGTATTAGGTTATTCGGATGCAGACCTCTCAAATAAAGGGGGATACGATCTAGTCCATTTTGACGACTTGGCATATGTTGCTAGTGCACATCAGGAATGTAAGTACAGTTAAATATTTTATAAATACTGTATTTTAATAAAACCAAGCAAAAATGTTTGTAGCAATTTTATCTGAAATGCTCAAATTTAAGAATAATTAGATAAATAAATTATTAATTAGAAAATATCATATATAGGGGAGATCGGGGCAACTTCGGCATGCGGGGCAAGTTTGTCAAGCGCTTTTTTTAAAAAACAAATTAAAAGGAGACTTTGGTTATAGGTTAGGCAGTTGAGTTTTATTGGTGGCTTGTTGAGTGTAGTGTTTTTATTGTTCTCCAACAAGCGTAGTTGAATTATCAAGCAAATTTTCATTTTCGTTCAATTCCATATAATATTTTTTTTCCATTTATATTGAATTGGCAGGTTTTGTTATAATTCCATGATAACGAAAGTTACTTTTCCTGTTAGAAGGATGTAACTTCAACTTATTCACGTGGCCAGATCGTGGCTTGGCATTCTGTTCTCAGGGTTGTACTTAATGTTTCGAAATCATGACTAGCGGGGTAAGATCGGCAACATAAAGCCACATTAGAAGCAAAGGATAAAAATCAAACAGATGATAAATGAAAACATGTTTGCATTTGTTATTCATGTATATATGTCTTTGAACTTGCATTTCGTTGTAATAATATTAAATGGGTGTTGGATTTGTATTTCTTTGTTTTAATAGTGAATTCCAACTTATACATTGTTAATAACATAATTTTATATACGTGCCTATCTTGCCCCATTACTGTTGCCCCTATACCAGGGGCAACTTTAATAAAAATAATTAAAATAATTACAACTTTACAAAAAGAGAGAAGTTGCCGATCTTGCCCCAATACCCGGGGCAACTTCGTCAATTTCTCTCTTCTTGTAAAGTTGTAATTATTTTAATTATTTTTATTTCCAAACTGATTTTAACTAGTTCTATAGTAAAGTAACATTCCAATAGACAATATGCAAAGCTTTTTTTCAGTTTACAGCAGTATTTATTACACAAAATTTAAGTAAAGCTTAACATGCCGATCTTGCCCCGATCTCCCCTAAGTTACACATTGACAGAAATAAAACTTTCAATTCTTTAAATGCTACAAAAATGATTTTTTCTGTCTCTGTAAAGTTTATTTACACTTTCAACTTACTGTATATTCTAGGTTTTGTATTTTGAATAATTGTTTATTATTATATCTTTGACAATGAATTTAATTGAGATAGCCTAAAGGCAAGAAGATTTTTTTATTATGTGACAAGTTCCATATAAAAACATAACTGTAAGGAAGTTGGTTGAAATAAATTGCTACTATCAACCCTTCAAACACCTCAAGTACAAATTTTTAAGTCGTCTATGAAATGCCATAGCTGAATTAAGCCATGCAAATCGTGATAAGTTAATAATGTAGATGGGCAGCGAGTTGACGATAAAATTATCATCGATAAGTTATCATCATCAAAAAATTGACGAAGCGAATATATAATTTTTCTCTCATTACTATAAAGTAATTGTCAGAACAAAGTAGAAAAACAAATCAGGAATTAAAGGAATGAAATTATATAAAAATAAAGATATCACAGTCGAATTATTATATTATTTTTAACTGTCAGATTTACATAATAATTAGAAAGCAAACTCTTCGAGAAGACACTCGAATCTACAAGTAATTCTTTTTTCTCATAATTTATTATAATAATCTTATTGCACATTTTTAAAAGAATTTTTAAATATAAAATTAAGCTTAACAAATTATTTTTATTTGTCATCATTTTTAGTGTTAAAAACCGGCGCATCAGGGTTAATTGCTTACAGACTATCGACGAAAGAAGGGCAATGGCAATGGCTCCAAACAAGTGCTCGTCTTATATACAAAAATAGCAAACCAGATTTTATTTTATGTACACACAGGCCACTTATGTAAGTAAATTTAATTTTGATTATTAACTTTTGAATTTTATAAATTCATTACAATTAAATTCTAAAACAATGGTCGATGAATAGGAGGTTTATACATTAATAAGCCTTTAAAAACATTGTGTTTAAGCAAATAGCACATTTATTACAGAATAATAGAAAATAAATTAGATAATCAGACCTTATAAATTCCAATAAAAAAGGAAAATTACTTTATTATAGGGAAGAAGAAGGCCGAGATTTGTTGGGAAAGAGAACAATGGACTTTAAAGTGACATATTTAGATGGAGGGTTAGGAGCTATTACCGACCGGAGTGGTCTTTTATGTGACAGCGATCTTATTCTAAGATGTCAAAGGACGAGAAGGTATAAATCCCAATTTCGAGAACTACTGACAACATGTAGGAAAAGAAAGATGCCTGGAGATCCTTACATTGACGAAACGAGTTACAATAATGTCTACCCTTACCCAGCGGAGAACGCAAATGGTTTAAGTCCTTATGCAGCAGCAATGCCTCAGAACTTTTTTACAGCAGCCATTGATAATACTCGTCTTCTCTCACCCGAAAATTTATTCCACTATCGCCATTTCGCTGGAGGATATTATCCAGAATACCATCCAGCGGCTCAATACAGCGGCAATGGTTTCTTAGACATGACGAGCACTGCCAGGACATGTTTTCCTACTCCCTATCCACCCGATGGTTCTCAATTAACCAAAGATGATAAACTATATCCTTGTCAAATGGACGCTGCTAAATTTAACGGAGAATCACCTAGATTAGTTCAACAAGTCGGTTCGAAACCATCTTGTTGTGAAGCGTACGTAAATCCTGCCGATCCGAGTACCACGTTAAGAGGTTGTATAATGGGTACGACTACCGCTGGATTGCAACCTCTGCTACCACCACTCGAAAGAGATCCGACAAAACTGAGTGATCTAAGTTGTCGAAATTTAAACTTTGGTCTACCTAGTGTTGTGGAATCGATTAGTGTGGACTGTGTTAACGTAATTAAACCGAAAACTACTTCGGCTCTCCCGCCTCATTTAAGAGATTCTCCTCATCTGGCCAAAGAAGAAAAAGATCACAGTGATTCTCCTGTTTCTACATCCTATTCCAACGATACCAGGCAGAGTGTTCTTATGTGGGGTTCTCCTTTAAGTAGGTCGACAGGACATTCAACAGCGCATCCGAGTGGGGGGTTGTTTGACAGTAAGTTAAGTAAGTACGGTGACTCCCTCTGTCGGACGACAACAGAACTAACGAGTGTATCACCTTCTGTTTGTAAATGGATGGGACATGTTGCAACGCCGAAATCAGCCTCACCTCATAACAGTACGAGTCCAGCAAGTGGAAAAGTAGCACCTTCAGTCAGTTACAGCAGTACTCCTTATCCTTCTATGGGACTCGAAATAAGGCACCCGGTAAATATCAGCAATTTTATTATAGAAATATACATAGAATTTTTCATGTAAATAAGCTCGTTTCCAATTTTGTTAAATTTTAATTTATTTTTTTTAAAATAATTCCCCGTACAAATTTTTTATTAAAGATTTTTAATGAGTGCTTTTTTTATTAAAAAAAGTATTTTTATCAACTTTGTATTATGCTTTTCTTCATGCTTTATCATTTTATTTTTTCTTTCTTTTTTACGATACAGGATTTTGCTTTTTTCAAGGTACGAATTTCTTGCTAAATTATCTCTATGCTTGACAGTCATGTTTATTATTTTTTGATAAAGAAAAATGGAATGAAATTAAGTTAAATAAATATTGGTTCTATTTATAGAAAAATAAAATAAAATAATATATCGGCCATTAATTATATCGTCAAGATGAATAATGTAGCGAAATAATTTAACAAACAAACCATAATTTTTCATAGGATAATCTGTATGCTATAGAGTATTTATCGTAGATTCCATTAAATATTTGAACATGTAAACAAATCAGTGTGCTAAAAAATTAATTTGTTAGAAGATTTTTAAATTAAAATTAAAGTTATATTTTCTTTTTTTTAGTTGCCTTTGCTCAGGCAAGAAAATGGAAGACCACCTTCAGCGAAGCAAGATGGAAATCCATTATTATCAATCTCTGAAGTGACAAACACTCTTTTAAACCATGATTAAACTATATTTAGTCAATGAAGATGCAAGATTATTTCCGAGAACAATGACTTAAAGGAATCGATTGGGGCCTAAGTGGACTTCCCATCGGAGCACTTAAATTGATTGTTTGCTTATACCGTAGTGTGTAACACGTGTGTGTTTATGTGTACAAATAAAACAATAGAAAAAACTGAGAGAGAACTTGAAGCTTCGAGGAGACTGAACATTACGCATTCTCCCAACTTGTGTGGATTCGTTGTGTGCCCAGTTAACACCAAAAAGAAAAAAAATTAAAAGAAAAAGTTAGACTGATTCAAAACTAAGGTTAAAAAATAAATAAATAATAATAATAATATGCTCAACATTTCGACAGAGTGGGCCATTAATATATCACGCTTCACATTCTCTTTGTTTTGTGTGTGTACAGAATTGGACCATAACGCGTATATTTGTCACATGGGATGTCAGGTTGTCTTCGGGAGGATTGAAAGATCTAGTCTTTTCTTAACGTTTTATCAAAAATGCCCTTAAACAATTGTTTAATAGAAATAAATCAATAAGTTATATATTTTTGAAACAGATAAACCGAAATTAAATATTATTTTTGAAAAATTGGATTTAGAGTGCTTTTTGCCTATGTTTATATTTGCCAAGTTATTCTTAAAATTTCATTTATATTTTATGAAACTATTAAAAAAATGAAATATATTATTCGAAAACGAAAAGACTAGTTCTACAGTCCTTAAAAATTATGAAGAAATAACTATCTCTTTCGAAATACCTAAAAGAAAGAATAACGAGTTGTTTCTCATATTTGAATCGTCTCATCTCTATTCACTCATTTTTCAACATTGTTGTGTATCATTCAGACGGAATACATCACTATGTTGGCACATATCAATCAGCACACTGCTACAAATATATTGGGATTATTACACCAACAATTTGTTGAATAAAATCACTTTTCAATCTAGTCTTGTGTGGTTATTTAAACAGAATTTTATCAATACGAACAGTTTAATAATTTGCAACAACAGAAATCTAAATTGTAATATCTAATTTCCAATTTTAAAATATGTTAATTAGAATGCAATTGTATTGGCTGCAATGTAGAGAACACTCATTTTTCTGTGTTGAAAGCTGTGAGAAAATAATAGAAAGCAATACAGAGGGTCAATTGTATTACGGAACTTATAAATATACTGTATATATATTGAATTATTGCATAATTTTGTATAAAATATTTAAAAATTATTTTCTCTCTTGCCAAGAAGTGAGGTGTTAGCAACTAATTATGACATCCCAAAATCCTGTGCCCATTGCCCTACACCTCCTGCATCTAGCTAAATTCGCCACTGGAGAACTCTTTCTATAAAAATGTTGGTTAGAATAAAATTTTATCGTCTGTGAGGAGTGCATTATTTAAATAAAGAGTAAAAATCTTCCTTAATGCATTTTTTCAATTAGGATATTTTAAAAATATCATGTATTTCTATCTTCAATGATTAAATTATGGAAAATGCTTATATTATTAAATAATTATTTATGTATTCGTGTTCGATAAAATTTACGAATTATAAATTTTATGTGTGTATAAAAATCGTGCATAATATCTGCGATATTATTATCGAATTTAACGCGTGCCTTCAGTTTATTCTAAACTTGATTTAGTAGTAATTGGCTCGGTCATGATTTAGTTAAAGCGGGTGACTTGAATTATAAATTATGTTAATTAGAATACTCATCTGTCATTATGTCCTAGATCGTTCCTGTTAAAAACAGGTTTGAATTTTTGACAATAGGCCATTTTGATATCTCTTATGAAACAACGCAATTTTTCAAAGGGTGTTGATTACTTTTTTCCTGCCCTTTAACTTTTAATTTTATAATAGGCCTACCTATTACGAGGCTAAGAATTTTTCTTACACAAAGTTTACATATAAAGAATATAATAATAAATTGATTATCGCATTATTATATAGCCTAATTTCGGTATTCAGAATGTTGAAATATTTTCGTGTTATAAACTGTATTAAAATTTATTTTTTTAATTTACGCTGATTATTAATAATATATTTTAATAAATATTTATTATAGATAGGATAACCTATTTGAAACTTAAATTATTTTCTTTTTTAATTACTTGTATTACTGCTTACTGCTTTAAATTTCTTCCTACTTATTAAAGATAGTTGGGTTATAAACACTCAGAAAAATTTTAAAAAGCAAATATTTGGCATTTAAAATTTATCGACAGAGTAAAGTAAGCGTTATTCTTTTTTCCTTCACGTTTAATTTATAAGATATTATCACTATTGATTCCTCAGCCCCAGCGATTGTGAGGGGTGCAGTGTGTAAAGAGTCAATGACCGACCGTTATTTTATGTTTTTGGGCGTTATTTTCTTTTTGGGGTCTTTTTATTTAAGGACATGTGACAAAGTCAAAAAAGGTAGAGATACAAATTTTGCATCAGTGACTGATCCCGTGACGCAAAATAATGTAAATTAGGGCAGCGCGGAGCTGCACTGAACATTCAATAAAAGACGGCACATCCAATACAGCCGTGTGGTGTAGCGCCTGGTGACGAACGATGTAGACACGTCTCTGAGCAGTGATTAGCGTAAGCTGTATACTTTGATGTATTTCCTTTTTTTTTCTTTTTTGACGTGGAGGTGAAATTTTTAGATTTGTTATTATATAAAGTAAGATTTTCTTTGATTGATTGTTTATTCTTTTTGTTACTTAGTATATTTGTCAAATATTCAATTAGTCAACTGTTCGTACAATTAACCAATTATTGTTTTTTTTTCTTATTTCAATTTAATAAAAATATACTCGTATTCCTTGTGAACTGTTACTTTATATGTGGTTTTATTATTATTATTTGCTTTTGAATTAAAAGTCCATGCCTGGTACTTGAACATCTAATATTGTGTAACCCCAGTTATTTTTTTCGCACGCGGTGCGTTACAAATGGTAAGGTGGTTTATAGGGGCTATCTTTTATGATTTTTACTTGCCTAATAAGCAGACATATTAAAAAAAAACTAAAATGTTAATTACGCATTTAATTTCACATATACATGAATATTGTTTTTATAGTCTGAAATAAATAATACAACCTTCTATATTTAAAGGTGGAAGATTCTTAACAATGAAGTGGCATGATAACATGAGGGCTGAAGAGGGAAAGATGAAGGAAATCAGTGGCGCGTTATCCTAAGGGAAAATAGAGAAATTGTCTGGACTCCCATCAACAGGGGATCACAAACCAATCTTTTATAAGAAAATATTTTCCACAAAAAATTCCCTCGAAGAAAAATGTTTGAAGTCAACGCTAAGGGGGGGCCCTAATTCAAATTCGCCTGGATCCCACGAAGTATAACACGCCACTGAAAGGAATGTCAATATTTTAATTAACGGGGGTGCGAAACGAACTTAACTCTGTTGGTGGATGTTATATATTATTTATTCAAGTATACGTCATTGATTTTAACATGTTATTTTTTATCACAATACAATAAAAGTTTTAAAACTCATTTTTCATAAATATATCAAATTTTAAGTAAAAATAGATCAAGAAAGGTTAAATTAGGCACGTTCAATGAATACCTCAGAAAAATTTTCATCAAAGCATTGAAACAATTCAATGAAACATAAAACTTGTGTATTGCGCACGTGAAAATAATCAGTGCTCTTACAGAATTCAGCTAATCTTAGCCACCAGATGCAACGAAGCGATGAAAACTTGCTAACTTGTCTATGAAGTTCATCAGTTAACAGAAAAAATTTGTATTGTGTACAGTACAGCATATTACACACACTAAGAATAAATAAGTTATAAAAATATTTAATATGCTTCACAAAACATAAAGCAGCTTCTATATTCTATTCGTTTTGATCATCCGGATATCCGGTAGTTAAGAATAAGCTGCGCCACAACTGGAATATAGAGAACAGTTTTGTAATTTTCTTAGATAAATTATGATTCATCTAATACAAGAAAATATGTTTTGAGAGATGGCTTGATTTGGAATCACTATATCAACATTTGTATTTTAGTGTGCATTTTTCATTAAAAAATAAGTTTTATGTATAACTTGATAGAGGCGACATTGGTCTATATTTTTATGAAAAATAATGTTCTTCCGGATAAGGTTAAGTTTATTGACGATTATACGAAAGATAAAGACGTTCATAGAATGGCGTGATAAGCGAAACTTGTTTAGCATTCTTATAAAATAAAAAATAAATGAGATATAAACCTTTTGGTCAGAATAGTTTCCAAAATAAAATCTGTCCAAGATCTCTCGATAAGCTGAGAGCTAAGAATTACTAATCACAGAACTCTCCAACAACTTTATCACCAGCAAATTATAGCAATTATAAAGGAGTATTTTTGATCTTGGTTGCTTGCTGTTCTCTTTACTATATGTATTCTCTTAGCATAAGATTGCCGTTGAGAACAAATCACACAGGAACACTTTTAGTGGAAAAAGGGGTTTATTGATAGAAAAGGATATGCATTTTGGGCTTATGCCCCTTTCGGTCATATTATAACAGATTTTTCAGCAAAATTATTACAGAGTTACAGATTTACCAATTGTATTGAAATATTTAGGATACGCGTACAAAGGTTTATACAATAAAACATACGATAATTACCTGAGATTATAGTGACAGTCAGGACAACACGACTCGTGAGAAGACATAGGTGAAAAAAGGGGAGGAAAGTGGAGCTAAAATAATTCTAGCTCCATTTTCCTCCACTTATACACATTAGAACAATATAACAACATGTGCTAGAATAAAAAGGGAGTAAACTTAAATAAAAAATTAAGTACATAATTAAGAGGCGGAATTTTTATAAAATTAATAAAGGAATATCTGTAGACTGCGAAATAATTCCGATGAAATGTATAAAAAAATATAGACAAGATAGAAGAGGTTAAAAAGATGTGAGTATTCCCTGTATCGTTCACTGAATGTTTGGTGTGTTGACTTACACTGTGGGATACGATGGAGGGAGGTAGTACATCTTAATGGGCTATGGGTAAGGACTATATACTACAATATACGAGGACTATATACTATATATATACATATAGTATATAGTCCTCGGGCTATGGGCTTTGCTACTTATCATACTTCACCGCTCTTATATGCTATTTTATACGGATTTTTAACGCTCTGCTAGTATTTTTAATGTTATGAAACCATGAAATGTTGATATTCGCCATCGTAAGAGTTCTATAAATTTATTCATGGGTTTAAATTAAATTTATATTTCATAAAGTTGATTACAATTAACAAATATATTTTCATTTTTATGACACATTAAAAATAGTTTATGATAAAATTTAAAAAAATCTCCATATGCTATATTAGCATTTTTTTTATAAGTTAGTAGATTTTAAATAATCTAGCAGGCTAAGAAAGCATTACGATGAATGCAATTTTAAAAATTCAATTTGATAAAATTTTATTACGAATATTTAGCATAAATATTAAAAGTAATGTAGGAGAAATGAATACTATATAAAATATAAACTCTAATATATAACTTATGGTTAAAGAAAGTTTTTATTTAATATAAATTTCAGAAACTGCCGTTTCTTTAATGCGGGATGACCCAAAAGGTATCTACCAAGTTTAATGTTTCATTACAATGGTACGACGAGATATACAAATCTTACTCAAATATTTAAATTAACATTTTAAATCATTTATATTATAACGTGTTCAATGCATTTTCTTCAAGTTAATATTTGTACTGAAAGCACCATGACAGGAAATTGAGTATTCTCTAGATATGAGCACTTAAAAGCTATTGAGTGCTATTATTTTTATGACTATATTTCCAGGATAGAAAATACCAAGGATAAGACTGAGCACATTTGAAATTAGAATTACAAGCAAATACATTACATACATTGTAATATAAATGACTTGAAATGCTGATTCTAATAATAT